ATATTCTTGCCGTATAATATACATTTGATAAGGTTGATGTATAGTCTCAAAACATTTAAGCAAGACCAATTAAAGACTATTATATGATCGTTATATACACTATGAGTTTATATCCGGCGCTCGGTGAAGCATTTGAAAAGATGGAAACTGTTGATGGATTTCGATTACATCAAATAAGCGACATAAAACATCGAATAGGGAAGGATAGGGAGTTGAGACTTGGATTGTATAAAAAGTATCGCAGAGCCGTGAATGCTCTGGACGGAGTTGACACCGCTCTTGTAGTATCTGGCATGGGACTCGGTGTAGCGGGTATCGGTTTACTATCAACTATAATCGCTGCGCCTATCGTGCTCGGCATGGAAATAACCGCTGGAGTCTCGGGACTGGCAGGAATAGCGATAAAATTCATTTCTCGTAGGTTACAAAAGAAAGCATTAAAACACGATAGTATTCGAATACTCGCCGAAGCAAAGTTGAACAGCATTGAGGATCATATTTCGACAGCAATGGCCGATTGTAAGATATCCGAGGATGAGTTTCGTTTAGTGCTGTCGGAACTCACCAAATACAATGAAATGAAGCAGGAGATTCGATCAAAATCTCTTAAGACCAGTGGTATTAGCGAAGACGAGAAAAAAAAGTTCATAGAACAGGGGAGGCAACAAGCGCGTCAATTATTCCGTGCCAAAACCAAAGAACTGGTTGGAGATTAAAAATAGATTACTTACCATCGTTTGATCACATTTAGACAAATGCTTACATAAATATATATAATAATGGAAAAAACTATTAAATGGAAAGAATTACCACAAGGTTTTTATTATATCAGTGATGTCAAACCAACTAAGTACGGTTATCAATTGTTTCTTATCAATTTACAAAAAGAGTGTAGTTATATAGTCTGGTCTCCTAGTAAAATGAACGAAGAACTTAATAAAAATGTTGAATATCGCTTTATCGATAAAAATAATGAAGAATATTTTTATTACCATTTAGACTCATCTAAAGCATTGATTGGCCCCAGGTATTGGTGAGCTAGAGCCAATCTCATGACTATCGTTAAATCGCATAATCATTTTGGCATAAAAAATCCCCCCTGTAGTAGCAGTATAGGTAATAAATCTGGCTCCAGTGGAAGTGAGCCAGAACCCCTATTACCTATAAGAATTTGTATCATAGACTCCAGGTGGTGGTGAGCTGGAGTCAATTTAGCTGAATCTTATGACTATCGTTGAATCACATAGTCATTTTGGCATAAAAAATTCCCTCTATAGTGATGGTATAGGTATATGAATCCGGCTCCAGTGGAAGTGAGCCAGAACCCCTATTACCTATACTACTGGAAGTATCAATCAATCGGTTCCATCCTAACTCACTCAGTGGCACTGACAAGATGTCTGCCATCTATGATTGCGAGAAGTTCTCTCATAGCAATTGTCTTTGCATCAGAGGTAGACAGAAAATGCCTTTTAGAAGACTTTTTGCTCTTTTGTACCACAGCAGAGCAACACCTGCTTCAAAAGGCAATGGCGCATTTCCAAAGTCTTGATGATCAAGAAATGGACTCATTGATAATTTTCTTTAGTATCAATGGTTACTTTGAAATGCCAAACTGGAGGGAAATCTCAGATCAAATCGCAGAGATTGCCAAGAAGAAGTTGTGTGATACCCAACGTCCTCTTTACGATGCCATGAGACGTGGTATTCCAAGTTTACACTTGTCATCATTCTGGGCGCAGTTAACGATTGACGAAATTTCAGCTCTCATCATCTCCCAGCGTCCTACCCCTAAGAAGGTGGTAGACTGTATATTGTCGTCGGAGGAATTCATCAGACCAGAAGAGGAAAAAGTTCTGTACTTCTTGAAACAGTTTGTGAGAGGCCTTGATCAGGAAGACCTCCTCTCCTTTCTGCATTTCGTTACAGGGTCAATCCACATGCCAGTAGGGGGACTAAAGGTATCCTTCACAAAACTGGCTGGGGAATTAAGGAGACCCATTGTACACACATGCTCAAATCTGATAGAAATAAGTGTGCTGTATTCCTCATTTCAGGAATTCCGCCGTGAAATGACGCAGTACTTGAGGAACGAATTAGCTTTCCAATTTTCAATTCTGTAAGCCCAACAGAAGGGTGGATATGATGTATTCAGTTAATGAAAGGTGAATGTACAGGTTTCTTGGTCTGGTCATTAGCCAATCACGATCAGAACTGAGTATTCACCAAGTCATGGCACAATGCATTGCCGATTATGAATGCTGTAAATGAAGATCTTCCTTTATCTAACACTTGACTTGCATCTTCTTTGGTGTGTTTATTGTTCAGGATACGGAAAACATTAAGTAAATCCGCTTTGTTTAATGTGAATACGTTTGTTATGAATATTTTTACAAGTGGGGTGGACGTATACAAGTTGTTTTTTCTATCAAAGTAATTGTAACTGTACATACTATTACATAAAACAATTGCATGTGATCCCGTGGCATTTCCTTGGCATTGTTTGCGTTTATGTTTCCTTAAACAGAAATATACTTTACGTCCCGCACGTCATGGACTAGTGTTTACTTGAATTGCAGTATTATGCTTCACGATGTCACTCATTTTATATTGTTGTTTTCAGCTTTTGTTATAATGAATAACAAAAGTTACTTTTGTCTGTGAAGTAATGATTGTTGACGTTACTCAAATTGTTGTCTCGGATTGATGATTGACAGCTTATTGACATTTTCATTTTAGGTATTACGTAGCCAACGTCTCCCATTCCTCTGCTAATTACATTTTTCAATGGTCATATCATAGCACTGTTACTACAATCTGTTCTTAATCGGGTATGAGTTTGTTTGAATAATATTCATTGTTTTTTCTCGTTTAATCTACTGTTCTTACAATAAGACGTCATTTTAAAGTTTCAATTATAAGGTTCAATGAGGAATGGTGTGGTGGTGTGAATGAAATTAGAATAAGAAAAGTGAAAAAAAAGTTAATCAAAGACAATGAAAATTAAGTGAGTGAGTATGGTTTTACTCCACTTTTAGCAATATTCCGGCAATATCACGGCGGGGGACACTAGAAATGGGCTTCACACATCGTTCCCATGTCGGGAAGCGAACCCGGGTTTTCGGCGTGACGACCGACCCCAAAATACCATGATAAAGCCTTATGGAATATACCGTCCGGGGATCGTAAAAATTGACTGGTTCCCATAAAAGTCCCAATTAGTATACGCGGATACTCCCTATAGTAGCTCCATGGAGTGTTTGTGTACATACTCTGACATTTATCAAACATTTTGCGGAATAACTGCGTAGCTAAGAAGATATTTTACTAAATTCCCGCGGAGTTTCTGCGTAGCTCAGCAGAAATATTACTAAATTCCCGTCGAGTTTCTGCGTAGGCTTCGCGGAAATTTTGCGAAATAAAGTGAAAGACTTTTGCCATAGTGTATGTATTGATAAGAATTGACTTCAGCATAGTTTTCCTTTTTTGCTGTGCGGTTTTACACAGTATGCACACTTGATTTTACGTTTATACCTCCATAAACGCATAAAGTAGAGGATTTAATTCTTAAACAAAGTTTCAAATCATATCACACTGTGAAGTTTTAACATATTTCACTTTGATAATAGATAACCAGTGATATCATTTATTAGCTGAGTAGATCGTTAAGTTCTCTCGCACAAAGAATAAATTTATCTTTGTGTGAAAGTTGTCGTGTACATAAAGAGTACATAGTCCACAATGTGCACGATATAGTGTAAATAACAGATAATTTATCACAATATGCACGACATCGTGTAAATAACAGAACTTTAACCATAATATGCACGATATATCGCATAAATAATGAAACATTTACCATAATATGCACGATATCGTGTAAATAACAGACAATTTATCACAATATGCACGACATCGTGTAAATAACAGACAATTTATCACAATATGCACGACATCGTGTAAATAACAGAACTTAAACCATAATATGTACGATATATCGTGTAAATAATGAAACATTTACCATAATATGCACGATATCGTGGGAATAACAGCACACGATACGCACACGTATGTGTATGGATGATCACCGAGTGCCGTAAAGCTCGAGAAAGCTGCTTTCTAATTGGCTGATGCCGACTTCTTGTCAGTCGTTTCAGTGCTCGGTCAAAGTTCGCGAAAGGTCGTTCTGACGTGACCCGTAATGGGATGTCCTCAGATCTTAGTTTAGCGGCAGCGAGAACTAAGATCTGATTTGATTGGTGATTCATCCCGAGGTGCCGGTTCCATCTGGCAGGGACCAAGCTTGCCACCGAAATCTTGGCCACACACGAGCTTCTAGACAAGGGAGCCATAAGAGCATTATTGTCCCGAAGGAAGAAAAATATATACGCATGATAATCGACTTGAAGGTACTAAAAAAAGGGATTTTCTTGCACGTACTCCCAAGTTGCAAATGGAGTCGGTCCAGAATTAAAGGAACACCTTCAAACAAGGAGTTGGATGGATTTGGATGATAAACTTAGACTTGGAGGACGCCTTCACGTCCCCATTCATTAACGCCCCAAAGTTTCTGACATTATCTACCTTTCTACCGTACGGCATATCAATTGCTCCATTCACCAGGTTTACAAGGTTACCCGTGATCCGGTTTGCTCATCAATAGTTAGTAAGACTACATGGGTATGTCGACGAGTTAGTATTGGCCGATCAGGATAGTATAGGACAGGCCAATGCACATAAACTGTCTGGGCGATGTTACCACTCAGTGCTGATCGCAAAGACACGACAGTGGTAGCATGCAGAGAGCATTATGGGGCCATTGTCGGCATATGTACCAAAAACATACCTCCATAGTTTCATAGGAGATGACTACAACCCGGGGTCATTACTAATGTTAGCGACCACTACTTGGTTGCTGGCACAGAAGAAGCTGAACAATTGTTGCCTGCAAAGTAAACAACATTCGTCTTCTATTTGAAACAAACTCCAGTGATACTCACGGGTTTCAGAATGCAACTTTCTGGAACTTTGAAGAAGTCCTGATCGACCCAGTTTGTCTGATTCACCAAGACTGTTGATCTCATCATTGGCACTGAAAACAGCACGTTAACACCATACAACATTCTTTGTTCATGGAAATTAACCCCGCTAAATTGAATTTGGAACGAACGCGCTAACGCGCTGCGCGTTCGGTTCCAAATTCAATTGAGGTGGGTTAAATCTGCAGGTAACCTAGCTCTACATTGAAAACACAGTATGTTTATCTCCTAATTAATTGACAGAAATTAAAATATTCTTCAGGTTTATAAATTTTCGATTGCCTCCACTACAATTCCTGTTTTTGTTTTCTTATGAACTTTTGTCGTCTGAACCCGGGATGGGAACAAATAATCCCTAATTTTTATTTTCTGTCATCAACAAAAATAATGGTTTACATGCTATCAACCAACGGTTGACATAGCAATATATCCATGAGTCGTCATGATATAGCTGAAATATTGCAGACTACAACATGAACCAACTATAAACATAAAACACACGAACAACGCTAAAATGCACACAAACAATGAAGAAATATATTTAAAAAATCATTACCTTCAAGGTAAAAAATATCAAGGCTAAAGATTTTCCAAACAATAATGGGCAGATAATGACCTGTGCACCGCTTTCATTCACACTTTTTTCATTCATAAAATTTAAGTACCTACTGAAAACGTCACAACTGCAATGTGAAATGCTTGTATACTCATCACAAAAAAGTAAGGGATCATAACGTATAAATGTTAATACCAAGTATTAAAACAAAAGTGTTGACAAATGGCCTATTCAAGAACGTTAATGTCTGTAAAACATAACACAAAAACACATGTAGTGTGCGCGCAGCCGAGCCACAGATGTGGCATTTCTGATTTTAATACTTTAAAGGAAGGTCTAGTTGTGATTTACTTGACTTAATTCATTGTTGTGTACGGACTAGCAATGCGGCGTGTGCAACGCACGGAGCGTCTATGGACTATTGGCATGCTGTAATCTGGCAGAGGTCAGCGTGCAGCGGCAAATACGTTCAGTGTTTGACCGTGTTATTAGCTGACTATGGAAGAGTTACTAACAAACCCAAAATGTTGACGGCGCCCGAGGTTTACGACAATAGTACAGGATTCAATGATCGTAAACCATGCTCTACGAAATCGAGATCAAACGACAAATCAAATTGCCGCACACTTTCATCACCCTACTGAATACGATTATGGGTCAGATGGAAATCGTCTACATGCAGCTCGTCTCCATACTCGACGGCCACGTGTTGTGCCAAATCATCACATTGCCAACAGACGTCAATGGAGTACAAGACGTGGAAATATGGGTTATCTTCCCTGGTCACGTGTCGTATTTTCGCTTCCTTGGTAGGCGTGTTCGTGTCTGGCGACGTCGAAATGTACGTCAAGCCAATTACCTGAGACCTCATGACTTTGGCGGTGGATAGGTTATGGTGTGGGATGGCATCACTCTGACTGAGCGAGCCCCTAGCCGTATTGTACAAGAAAGCGTCACTGTACAGTACCATCGGGACAACATTCTCACAACCTTTGTTGTCTCGCTTAGAAGGGGTGTGGTCGACGTCTTGTCCTTCAGGACGACAGCACCCGTGCTCACCGTGCACGAATCGTCAATGCTCACCACCTCCAGAAGCTACAACATCCATAGCATGCCATGTCCAGCAATGAGCCAAGACCTTGGACATCATAAGAGTCGTGTGCGTCAACGTCACAGGCCGCCGACAAATATAATCTCCAATGCTTGATTCTGATTGGTAAAAAAGAGGTATTCTTTTTCCTACCGAAACCCCTTTAGATATTTTGCATTTTCACACAAAAACGGTGCACATGAATAGTCGATAGTCTGCATATCAATCCATAAACATGGCTGCATTGTATAAGGTAGTTAGTTGCCACTGTGCTAGCATTAACAGAATAGACACCGGCTCAACGGCTCGCGCGAAATGAATGACTCCCGGATGTCTAATAGAGGAAATACGGTACATGTGATATTTTTTTTACTACGACTTTGACGTCCAAGGCCATAACCACAACACTAACGAAGGCATGTATATAGCATACAAATGATTACGTCTTTAAAACTCTCGGAGACACGTTCGGTAATTTCCTCATTGAAACATACGACATTAAAAGTAAATTATAAACCTACCACCCTATATTGCAATGGGTTCCTGACAACCTAGTGACCAGCTCATCTTAACAGCCAAGGTTTTGAAGCGGTTCTCTTCCAAACCTGGGTTTTGAAATAGATCACTTGTAAACCTGCATTGAGGTTTTACATTTTAACTGTAATACCTTGTAATACCTAGGTTTCACAATTAACGGTTTATAAACACAATTATGTTTGATGGTGTTTTCCAAATTTTATTCATGACAACATGTTGTATAAAAACCCTTTTTTTTTTGCCTCCTCCGTTAACCACCAACGTCAGAATTTGGCAGGTGGGATTTCGTTCGGCAAAGTCTGGCGGTCGTCGTTGTTCAGTGTCGTTCTTAATTAAAAATTTAGTGACCCAACTTTATTTCATTCTCTTGTGATTTAATGGCATACTCTTTCCATGTATTGACTTGATGTATGTTATCTCATGCTGCCATATTCATGTTTTTGTGACTATAATTTTGGAACATTAGGGGAATTATCTATGTACTCACAGATATTTTTATGTATTTGTTATCATTATTGTACCCTCATAAATTGTACATAGCTTGTTTTAAATCTTTAATTATACCTTTGGATAGCTTTTGATCAGGATAGCTTCGATGTGGATATAGTAGTTAGTTTGCTATTCTTGGTTCTCCCATGTTTGTTCAAACCTTTGTTGAGCGGACCGGCTATCATATTGCCCGGCTGACCAGAAGAGGTTATATGCTCCGAGGTCCGTGCACCAGTATTAAAGCCTTTGTCAAGATCTTGTGTCTTCACCCCCATGACTCGTTCGGCCATTTACGGGTCGATTTGTTACTGGGTGGTCACTCGAAACTCAGGTTTCGTTAGTAAGTGATTACGGGGGTACATGGGTACAATATGTGAAGCCCATTTCTGGTGACCCCCGTCATGATATTCTTGGAATATTGATAAAAGCAGCGTAAAAACACACCAACTCAATCATTGTACTCATGTGGGAAATCGAACCGGCGTCTTCGGCGTGAGGAGCTAACGCTTTTACCAGTGCCACTGATCACAAAAACGGGATTGTGAGAAGTAGTGTTGTACACACCATCAGACAGTAGGCCATGGCGGTCCCACTCTTCACTCCCACCTCGAGGTGCAGGGGAGACGTGTCAGTGTCCTCTTGGAGTTACATATATATCTATCTTGTGTACCTATTCGGGACCTCCATGCTTCTCCTATGGCTATTGACTGATATTTACCTTGATTTGATGTATTTCACAGGCACTTGAAGCAACAGCCAATTACCCTAACGTATGCGCGGACGCTATCACCTCACTACATTGATAGATCCGTACATGGTATTCTTACATATTCTACACATTCGTACGCAAGCTGTTATCTTAACTGCAACAACAGAGCCATACAATGTCACCTACCTGTATTTACAGAGCCATACACTGTTTCTGATATCAAGGCACAGTCCTTCTCTGTGACGGACAGAAATCCCGTGAGTCCCTGATCAGCAACCTGGAAAGATTTCGCAAACATGTGTTCCCCAAACTTTTCCATAGAGCCAAACCAGTAATGGGACATCAGAGTTGAGTTGTCTGAAACAACAATGCTTAACTTTTTATGGCATCGTGGTCTGCATATTCTAAAAAATATTCTCCGCCCAAGAGGAAATACTCGTGATTTTATTCGCTGCGGCACTGTGTTTAAACTGTTGGCACATTCTGTGTTTGGCAACAACGACTATAACCGTATTTTCTGTCCGTCTAACAAGGCCTGGCATGGGTTCATGGAAGACTATTTGTGACACATGCCGCCCAGAAGGCAATTCTTTTGCAGACCGTTGACAACAATCTGGCATAAGAAAGCATTTTGATAAAGAATATCATACATATCAACAAGCCATCGGGGACACGGCGATTTCTTCACAAGATATGTGTCCACCACATGTTACTTAAAACTGTAATGGTACGTCCCATTTTCTATTTGGGGCCAGGTCGGATTCGATGCCACAATGACATTGCCGGAATATTGATAAAACCCCCTAAACCCATACTAACTCGATCACTATTTGATGTCTACAGTTATCTGACCGTCATCCAAAATGTCCAAAGTGTTTTATAGAAATATGTTAAAGGTCTATAAAATTAACATATCCTTAACTTAAACCAATTGTTCTTGGGTATGTGAGAACATTACCGTTGCGTCGGTAACCAGTTTGGAAAATTTCATTCGTTATTATGTTTAGAATGTATACTTTTCCTTGGTGAGTCAAAGTACTCGAAAATCTCATGTTTGGTAGCTCTTCCAGTTGTTGGTATACTTTACCGTCCTCTTAAGACTTATGCATTCACATGGCTTTTGACTGATGACCTCACTTTAAGTATTTTACATGATAAACTGCACATGAACCATAACAATATGCAATACATAATAAGGGAATACTGTTGTTTTTCCTATTCTGAGGGTGCCCATTTTTAAACGAATTACTAAAATTCCACTGTCTAGTGTACAAGTTAAAATGTTGAAAGTGTGTGATGGCCCGGAATAGCGAAATTTCCTTATAGTACCTACTTCGCTATTATCGCCATTTCTCTTGGCCCTTCTTCTAAATGACATTAGTTCTACCAGGGAGCTGACATATAAATGAATAGTTAACCGAGGGCCTAACATGGTTAACTACATGGTTGTACTTCAAATATCCAAACAGGTCATTATATTTTGTGAATTCCAAATCAATATTAAGATTTATGTTGATAAATGTTTCAACCTGTGAAGTCCTTCACGTGTTCACAATCATAATAGATATGTCAAAAATCTTCTCCACAGCATTTACAGAATGTACAAATATTATCATCAACTAAATTCATCAATAGTAATTCTCTGTGTAGACTGTTCTATAAATTAATCTATACTGAAAATCCAACAACTTACCGTCCAAAGTAAATTTCTTTAGTATGAAAAAAACATCTTTAGGAATATTGGGAATAACAAATTTTGATAGCCCCAAACTGTTCCTCTATTTTGTATCTGCTCTTAACATCTTGAAAAGTTAGAAAACCATTTTCATTGCAAATACCAATGTTAATCCAATGCTTTATAATATTTGTAGATTAACCCAAAGTGGCTGACCTATGACCTAAAACATCTCCTTATAAAACTCATGTATTCTATAAAATGTACCCCTCACAGTCAAAACATCTCTACAACAAGGATTGTCCCTATGACAGAAACGGTCTCACATATTGGAACCAAGTGAGAATAAATATCTTGTGTAAAGATTGTTGCTTGTATGTTTTTAAATGACGTTTGAAGGAGGACAGCTAAAGGGCTAAACGATTCAATGTCATCGATATTAAGACCCCCATTACTGTATGCTCACATGATATTTATATAAAATTGTTTTGATTTCTTCTATTGATATTTTTTGATTGTTTAGGACGTGCAGAGAAAATACGTACAAGGTTTTTTTATAACTGTGATTTTCCCTGTTAGTGTTAAATTTCATCTACGCCAATTGCCAGGTATTCTGTTTAAATACCTAACCGTCTCCTTGTATTGATCACCAGACAATAGGTCTTGTGAAGCCATGCTACAAAAGCATACCTCTTATATACAAAATACATGATGGTACTGTAGTGTTAACGATGGGCATGTATTTTCTACACCTGTGATACGATGTAACCCGCACATTAACATAAACAATAGTAGTTAAAGCATACTTTACAAGATAAATCACAGTCTAGCAAGGTGCCCTTAATTGTCCAGCAACAAAAACACACCTAACAGAGTAGTTATCATCATCAATTCACGACTGATATCAGAATAAATATCGTGGAATGAATTGAAGTGTCTTGGTTCTTATGTAATCTTCCATAGTCAAGTCAGCAAGTTCTGTTTTTCATCTCCCTGGTTATAATGCCATCCTGGTTGTAATGCCACCCCGGCTGTAATGCCACCCTGGTTATAATGCCACCCTTTGTATAATGCCATCCCGGCTGTAATGCCACCCTGGTTATAAAGCCACCCAGGTTTTAATGCCATCCTGGTTGTAATGACACCCTTTTTATAATGCCACCCTGGTTGTAATGCCATATTTTCCGTTTGACGAAAAGGGGGTATATATTTAGTGGGGACAGTGATCATGTAACAATACAATAGCATTTCAGTAGCATTTCCGACAGTACTGTTATTATACTAGAAGGACGGATGACGATGACGTTGTATCCGTCGACTTGATATTCATAAAGATTTAACCGAATATCAAAATAACCAAATGATTCTATTATAGCAGTTAAATCATTATGAAGTATGCAACTGGCGTACTCTGACATTGTTCTCGAAACAATTTCAAATGAAAACCTTGTGTTCGGTTAAAGAACCAACTGCGACGGACCGCGAGACAACTGTCCCCATGCAGTATACTTGACGATGGCAATGGAATAGTGCTTGTGACATCAGGTTAGTCAGTTGTAAATTTCCCTTTCAAACCCAACCTCTTCACACATCTAATCTTATTGGCGCTTAACGCTTTTTACTGAGTATACATTGTTTTTTAAGATCTAAGCTTGAAAAATGTAAATTATGAAAGATGTTAATATTCCCTGTTTCCTTATATTTTGAAAGAGCGTTTACAGAGGCATTCTATTTCGGAGATATCCGAGAATCACCTTCAATGCCATTATATGAAACATATAGACATACATTGTTTATCTCCAAATTACAAACATGTCTGATAATAAGAGGCGCTGCTTCAACAAATTCAATGCTAGTCGCCCACACGGCATTCTGGTCGATTCCACCCTCTGACAAAGGCACAAAATGTCTTGAGTGCTGTACACCTGGACGTTCTTCAGCCTAACTCTATTATGGTGTGCCTCACTTCGTATGATGAGGGGGCACGGGTGGCCCAGTCGTCCAAGGCGCCGCGATTCGCTGTGCAGAGTTGGGCACGCCAGAAACCTATGATTGTGAGTTCGAATCCCAGTTCGCCCCGATTATTTTTCTAGGTTTGTCAGCACCATACCCGTGCTCGTGGGTTTTACCGCAGTGGTAAACGTCTGAGACCGGTATCACTCCGGGCTTTCCTCCCACATTAAGCTGACACGCCACAATATACTGTTAAAAGCGGTATTAAACCCAACTCGCTAACTCACTCGTTTGATGAGGCACGGAAGAGGCAGTTGCTTACTATGATCCAGGCGTTGCTTTCATGAGGCACGGAAGGGGCAGTTGCTTACTGTGATCCAGACGTTGATTTGATGAGGCACGGAAGGGGCAGTTCGTGGGTTTCACAGAAGTGGTAAACGTCTGAGACCTGTATCACTTCAGGCTTTTCTCCCACATTAAGCTGACACGCCGCAATATAACTCGAATACTGTTAAAAGCGGAGTTAAACCCAACTCACTCACTCACTCGTTTGATAAGGCACGGAAGAGGCAGTTGCTTACTATGATCCTGACGTTGCTTTGATGAGGCTCGGAAGATGCATTTGCTTACTGTGATCCAGACGTTGCTTTGATGAGGCACAGAAGAGGCAGTTCGTGGGTTTCGTGGGTTTCACCGAAGTGGTAAACTTCTGAGACCTGTATCACTTCAGGCTTTCCTCCCACATTAAGCTGACACTCTGCGATATAACTGGAATACTGTTAAAAGCAGCGTTAAACCCAACTCACTCACTCACTCGTTTGATGAGGCACGGAAGAGGCAGTTGCATACAATGATCCAGACGTTGCTTTGATGAGGCACGAAAGGGGCAGTTGCTTACTGTGATCCAGACGTTGCTTTGAGGAGGCACGGAAGAGGCAGTTGCTTACTAAGATCCAGACGTTGCTTTGATGAGACACGGAATGGGCAGTTGCTTACTGTGATCCAGACGTTGCTTTGATGAGGCAAGGAAGAGACAGTTGCTTACTAAGATCCAGACGTTGCTTTGATGAGGCACGGAAGGGGCAGTTGATTACTGTGATCCAGACGTTACTTTGATGAGGCACGGAAGAGGCAGTTGCTTACTATGATCCTGACGTTGCGTTGATGAGGCTCGGAAGATGCAGTTGCTTACTGTGATCCAGACGTTTCTTTGATGAGGCACAGAAGAGGCAGTTCGTGGGTTTCGTGGGTTTCACCGAAGTGGTAAACGTCTGAGACCTGTATCACTTCAGGCTTTTCTCTTACATTAAGCTGACATGCCGCGATATCACTGGAATACTGTTAAAAGCGGAGTTAAACCCAACTCACTCACTCACTCGTTTGATGAGGCACGGAAGAGGCAGTTGCTCACTGTGATCCAGACGTTGTATTGAGGAGGCACGGAAGATACAGTTGCTTACTAAGATCCAGACGTTGCTTTGATGAGACACAGAAGGGGCAGTTTCTTTGTGTGATCCAGACGTTGCTTTGATGAGGCAAGGAAGAGACAGTTGCTTACTAAAATCCAGACGTTGCTTTGATGAGGCACGGAAGGGGCAGTTGCTTACTGTGATCCAGACGTTTCTTTGATGAGGCACAGAAGAGGCAGTTCGTGGGGTTTCGTGGGTTTCACCGAATTGGTAAACGTCTGAGACCTGTATCACCTCAGGCTTTCCTCCCACATTAAGCT